GGATGTGTGTGATGGGAACTGAACTTAGGTCCTCTGCAGGAGCAGCGCACTTTGTGAACCAATAAAGCCACCTCTCCAGCCCTGTATAAGTGTACAGTGGTCTTCTGGCCAGTCACCAACTCTTAGTTTTTTTCATTGGCTCGGACGTCCTATCTATGTGCTTCATCTGCCCTGAGCAGGGCCCAGAGGATTGCTAGTACCGGAAATAATATGCTTGTGAATTAGTTTAGAAGAACCTGTATGTCATACCAACCAGATTTCCATAAGTCATATTTTCCGTATTTACTTGGGAAGGTGTTCCACTGTACAGTAACAAACCTCCAGGCTCCCCTGGAGGGTTCGGCTGCTCGAAATGAATTTTCTGTTGCTTCTCTGACAGAGCAGCCCTCTGTTCTCAACCCACAGCTGACCCACTTACCAGATTCTTATTTTGATAGGGACATTGAGCCTGAAATCCTACTTCAGGTGCAAAAAGATCCAAACCATCAAACACAAAATTGCAAAGCCTTTTCCTGCATGAGAGCCTGCCAGGGCATTGTCAGAATCAGTTATCACGTGAGTAAAGTCTGGTTCACGAGTGTCTGCGATCTGTTCTGAGGATGATTGTGGGGTGGTGTGCAGCAACCCAGGCCACATTTGCCACATTTGCAGCCTGCCTTGCTGATTCTCAGTTTACAGAGAAAGTTCAACCCAAACTGCTCGGCGTAACGATATAAGTACACAGAGAAAGCTGTGCCCAAAATAAAATTAATTTTTGACTAATAGTTTCTTTTACTCTTTTGGTTTTTCTAGGCTGGGGATGGAACCCAAGGCCTTGTACATACTAAACAAGCATTCTTCTGCTGAGCCCCATCCCAGTCTCAATTCATATTATTGGTGGTGGTTATTGTTTTAAGTGCATATTCTGATCCTATACACAACATTAAACTGGTACTCTATAAAGTTTCCATTAGGGGAAAAATAACAGTGGCAGAGTTTATGTGATAGACTTTGTTTTCTTCCTTCTTTTTTGTAATAATTCAACCAAGAGGCTAAAAATGTGTGTTTTCGAATTTGCCCGGGGAAGGGAAAAAGACATTATAATCATCAATTCTAGCTCTTTATAGTCAGAATATTCATGCCACGGGGTTTTTCTAGAGAGTCCAAGGCAAGTTCAGATCTTTCTCATGAGGGAAGCCATGCCCACTGCATCCAGACACTGAAGCATAATACTTTGATGTCACCAAACACCCTCAGAGAAGCAGACCCATCTGAGCGTGTGAAACAGGCAGAGTCATTTCGAGCGTTCCCGAGTCAGCTCGGCCCCACTTCGACACATTTTCCCACCGAATCAAGCAATGGTGATCACCTCTCTTAGAGCTGTTTACATCCACTATGGATACCCCTCTCTACCGCCTTGCTTTGTGTCCCATCCCTACACTACTGTCCTAATTTACCAAGCAGGAGAACAAGGTTACAGTCTGAGGATGGGCTTCCCAAGGTCACACAGTGGGCAGGTCAGAGATTGGAGCCCGGTTCTGTCTGATTCTGATCCCCATGCTATAAAATCTAGGTCTGAACATTTTAACTGGAAAGGACTTCGTAGAAAAAAAAAAAGTTGAATTCCATCCCATGGTTTGTGTCTTTTGTTTTGTTTTGGGGGTTTGTGCCAATTACGATTCAAGCACAAATGCAGGTTCTGGGTTTCTTTCCAGAACGCCTTAGAGAAAGGAAGGCCTGATCTGTGATATTAGAAATGGGTCGCATTTCTAACCCAGAAGGTCTGCAGTTTCACAAAAGGGATCTTCAGCCCCAGTCCTCTGTCACCTGAGGCATTATCAAGACAAGAGGCGGGAGATGTGGAGAGTTATACGGCAGTTAAAACCTAGAGCTCTGTCCTTTAGCTGTGCAAAAGCAAGAAATCTATTCTTAAGAAAGCTTCCTGGGTCTATAAAATTCCATAATTCACCATGGTTTCTGGATGTTCTTACCTGAACCCCAAATTTCCATGACAGTGCACTGGAGCATGGGGGCACAGTGGTGGGGTCTTCTCAGTCTTGGAACCCTCCCACATTCTCCTACTCCTTGGTACTGAGGCTCTAGCTAATCTCTGCTTTCACGTTTGCCTCCCCCAGCCCTTGGTTGGGAATGTGCTACCTGAGCTAAACACTGGTATTCCGTAGGTTCCCTTGCAACAAGGTGTGGGCACTGCATCAGGTTCTAGCCAACAGACTATATATAACAGTCTCTCCAGGCCACTTCCCTAAGGGTCACTGAACATGTGTCTTTCGCTTTACTTCATCCTTTTCCTGCTTCCTGCCGACTGAAAGGAGGCCTGAAGACTGGAGAATCCAGTATCTTCTTGAACTGTGAGATGACTATTGTTCCCCAGGATGGTAGCACAGAAGGCTGAAGGACCAGGACTCTGGACTGTTGACTTAGGTAAAAGAAAAAACCCTGTGCGTTTTCTACTAAAATGTTGGTCCTATTTTAAGTAAATTCACTGTAAGGAAAAGTACCAGGCACAGGGCACTGAAAATAATCAGATCAAACGAGCTCGCCTATGATTCCAGAATTAGTCCCAAGCAATGCTGTGTACCAGGGATAAACTCCCTCCCCTCCTTCTGGGATGTACCTCATTCTTAAGCAGCTCAGTTCAGGGCCCATCAATCTGCCCCACCCCCTCTTCTTCCTCCTACCCACTTCAACTCAGATGGAATAGACTGTCAAAGCAATAGCAAAGAGGACCAGATGTTCAGAGATCTAAGGGGTGGAAAAATAAAAAGAGAAGTGATTTTTTTTTAAATACCTATCTCCCACCCTTCCTTTTTCCCCTGGAGCCCAGGGAGTCAGCGTGCTGGCACATGCTCCCACCGACCCCTGAATGTCTTATTCCTGAAGTTGGTCAGACTTCTTGAAAACTTTAATTCTGATTTTTTTTCCTCATTCTGCCCCCACCCCCAAAACTTCCTAGGCCTTGGATAAAAGGATCTCCTGTTCCATATGTGCTATCCCCCGCAGATTCCAAAGCTGACTTTCCCAGCCATCAGTAACAGCAGAGCAGGTGGCACAGGAAAGTCACAGAAGCAATGCTTTAAAAAAAAAAAAAAAACACCCCTGACCACAGCAAGAGACAGAAACAGAATCCAATTCATGGACGTGAAAGGCAACCTCATAGAGATTACACAGTTCCAACACCAAGTGGCCATCAGCATTTTGTTCGAGAAGAGGAGGCAAAGTTCCAGAAGACAATCCAAGCTGTGCTACTGGCCTAACTTGTTGCCACCCGCAGAGACTTGTGAAGTCCTTGTGTGTGAGCATAAAACTGAGACTCCAGATCTTAGCAAAGGAGGTTGGAAGGGCTTAGAGGGTTTCCGCATCTCATTTCGGAGCTCAAATAAGAACCTGCAGCTTAGGCAGCAGGGAACATACACCGTAGAGCATTCCATGCCAATCAGAGCCACCTCTGCTTGCTGGGGTCTTTTTATTTTCGCCTGCAGAGCAACCTTGCCAGGCAAAGCTCATGCCGCATAGGCACTAAGACCCACTTCAGACTGTTTCACACCTATATGCTTTCTTCTCCAGATTTAAGGCCAGTTTACAGGGTGATGGATGTCAGTTTGGCCCTGAGCACACATGTAATCCTAGCACTTGGAAGGCTAAAACAGGAGGACAGAACAAGATCCGGATCAAGGCCAGTCTGGGCACAAAGTGAGACTAAGGGAGGAGAGGGAGAGGAGGAGGACCAGGGAGACAAGGGGAGGGGGAAGATAGGAGGAGCAAGGAGAGGAGGAGAGGGGAGGAGAGGAATAAAGAACCTTCTGACTACATGCAACCTTACCTGGCCTAAAGGGAAAAGAGGGAACAAACGAGCAAATTCAAGTGGTGCAGGGTATCAGAAGCAGGCCAGTGCTGGATGGACAGACACAGTGGTAAATGTGTTCCCTGTCTTGCTAAAGGGAGCCCTCAGGTCCAAATGATTGCTCCAGCATGAAAGTATAGTCAGTGTTCAAGTTGAAGTTGTATGTGTGAGCACATGCATGTGTGCATACATGAGAGACAGAGACAGACAGAGAGAGAGAGAGGGAGGGAGGGAGAGAGAGAGAGAGGGGGGGGGGAGAGATCTTGCAGTTCTAGGATGCTAACACCAAATTCACAGACTACTTATGGCATTCTAAGAGTTAAAAAAGACTACAAGCCAGTCATCTTTGGAGATCCAATTTAAAACCCATCTTTTTCCCTCCCCCATTTCAGATGATGTACTCCAGAGCCTCTCTGGCACAAAGCTCCTGTTCTCCTGAGCTACATTGCCCAGCCCACAAGACGTCTACAAGACGGGAGCCCGAAAGATAGGAGAGGCCACCAGGTCTCTGATATTTGATAGGGCGGCCCTAGTTGGAATCATGGCTCTCAAGCCTGATGAAAGGACCCAGGCAACTAGTCTCTTGGAGTCCTTCCTTTGCCTTCTCAGAAGTTAAAAAGGGCAACCTCAGGCAGGATCGAGAGGCACCCTATCTGAAACCACCCCTTTCAGAGCGGGAGGAGGCCCAGGGGAAACCACAGTTGCTTTTTCTAGGGGATGCGCCATCTGCAGAGGAGGCAGCCACCTGCTGAGACCTCTGCAAAGCAGGGGAAAGAGGCTGAACCTCCCGGGAGGCGAGGAAGAGCGACGTGCAGGAAAGGGCTGGGATTAGGAAGAGGTTCCCTCCACTCACAAGAGTCCTTCAAGACATTTGCTTACTTAAGCAGGGCTGGCAATTCCTGGAGAATGCTCCGAAGGCAGAGGGATGGATGCACTTTTTGACATTTAGGGCCTTCCAGCTCCTCTGGCCTTTCCTGGAAGGTGCATCATTGGCCCAAACACACACCCCTTAAAAGGACCCTTTGGTGGTGAAGGATTCCTAGCCTGGGAGGTCACTCTGACAGGCAGGATTACTTCACTCTGCCTAACTCAGCCACGTCTGTGAAGTCTGTTTTATCCTCACTTCCCACCATCAGCATCCAGAGAACCACAGACCTACCTTGACACTGGAATCCCTGCTTCCCGAAGCCCCTGTAAAGCACAAGGAGGAATATCAGTCTGAGGGGTCCAGTTACCAGCTAGTTTCACACAGTAGCCCCCTCCCTTCCCACTGTCCTTCTACCCCAGATGCAAGCTCCTTGCTACAGTCCAGTGCCCAAGAATCTTCCTCTTTGGATGGGATTGTGGGGTACATTATGGGGGCTTGGCAGTAACCTCCACCTCACATCTCCCCTGCAGTTCAGACGAGACCGCGACCACCAGGTGGCGGGATGCGAGGGTGCATTTCCGTCCGGGTGGGGGCGGAAGGCGGGCTGGATATCTGCCCAAGGAGGTGCCGGGAGTACCCACAGGGAAAGAGAAAAGGAGGACGAGAGGGACTCCACCGCGGCGGTGTCCCCTGAGAGACTAGGAGAAAGAAAAGGTCGCCCCAGTCCTCGAGAGGCGGAGAGGGGGACAGAGGGGCCCTGAAGAGACGTGAGGGCGAGAACTGAGGCATAAAGGTGTGGGGGGCCTCAGGACTCTGGGGGCGCAGTAAGTGATAACCCAGGGGACTACTCTGGGGGACATTGAGAGGGAAAGGATGCTCCACGCCCCGGGGAACTAAAGGACACCCTAGGGAACTGCCCCGGAAAGGAGGGGTGAGGGTGAGAGCGCCTCAAGCCCGGAAGAAGGCAGAAAGATCGGGAACCCCAGGCGAGAAAGACACCCGCGGAGCTGCCCTGCCGAGGAGGGACAGCCGCCCTGCGTCCTGAGCCAGGTGTCGAAAAGGCGCCTGCGGCGCTGTCCCCGGGCGCTCAAGCGTCAGAGTGCAAGAGGGCAGGAAGCTCTTGGTGGCTGGCTAGCCGTCTGGGACCGGAGGAGCCGGCACCTGCGAGACTGGACCATCCCAGAGAACGGGGCAGAAGGGTCCAGCGGGATGAGAATGGGCACACGGTTCCTCCCCCGGGGGCGGCGACAGGGGTCCCCCCGCGTGTCGCTACCCTCTGGGGCCCCGGGCAGGTGACCCGCGCGGCGCGCTCTCACCAGATGAAGTCGGTGCAGTGGCTGCAGAAGGTGGGCTGCTTGAAGAAGCGGGCGGTGAATTTGTGGTTCTTCACCTCGTGCACGTTCTTCTGCCGGAGGGCGCCTTTGCGGGCGAAGCGCACGGTGCTCTCCTCGCCCTCGCTCGGCGGCGGCCCCGCAGCCGGGTCAGCCATCTTGCGCGCGCGGGGACCGGGGGAGCCCCAAG